GCTGAAACACACTACAATACAAGAGAGTGGGTCTCTGCAAACAAGGGCCTAGTGCAAGACGCGCTACGGATGCAGTGTTGCTGGTGTCAAAAGGCTTGAAGAAGACAAAATCAAAGTTTCTGTAATTACATAGAACTTTAAGTTTGAAATTTAGGAATCCCATTATCTTTAAAGTTATTTGTTAGAGAGAAACCAAAAGCTGAAAAGTATAGCAGCTTTCATGTCACTCTGTTAATTTTATCTATAATAAACAAAGTCGTTTTTTTAGTTCAGGATCATTAAGCCAAGCAAATATCACCAGCAAGTTCAATTTTTACTTGCTAACGTTAAGGGAAAGAAGCAGCTTGACTCATAGCAAGCACTCACCAATCTGAAAACACGTTTTATTCAACCTCGCACATGAAGACACACTTACCCAGGACACAGGACAGTCACCTTTACCTCAGTGCAGTGAGCTTGCTCACACAGGGGGAAAGCCACTGTAGCTGCATGAGTCTGCACATGCCAGCCGCAGCTTGCTTCGGCTCGCGGTGCTCACGGAACATTCAGATTCAGAGGCATCAATAAGACTTGGGGGCCAGAAGTTCCAGTAACAACCCTGAGAGAATTAATCTGTATACCAAAAGCCCAAGTCTGTCCTAGCATCAGGACCGAGGTGTGGGGAAACACAAAGCAATCACCCAGGTGTGTGCACCAGACCTCCGAAGGGCCAAGCACATCGTGCTCCGGGGAAGCACCAACCAAGGGGACACTGGACTCCAGCGACCGGCCGCAGGACTTCTCATCTTTGCTCACAGATACTTCTACTTTTCACCATGCTTTTTTATCTGCATTACTCCTCTCCTGTGTTCACAAAGAAACAGCTAACCAAACATACACAATAAAATTATTTCCGATTCTCAATTTATTCTGTGAAGACAATGGGCAGCAAATCGCAACAATGAGCAGGTGCTGTGAGCGGCAGATGGTGTTGTGAGTCAAGCTGGGGAGGGTCCAGCATCCTAACCCAGGCCATCACATGCAGGCCCCCATGCTGGCCAGGAGCTTGACTGTAGTCTCAGGCTCTCCCAGGGTGCACAGACAGGCCTGGCCTGGCAAACCACAGGCATGGTCCTTCCCCAGCTCTGCCACTCAGTCTGGAGCCGTGTCTTAGAGCCAAGCCTAGGTGGTGCACTGCTGGGGTGCTGCAGTGCCAGGGCGCTGTGATGGGCTGCCTGTCCCACTTCTGGCCCAGCCATGGCTCACTTCACATGCCCAGAGAGAGCTCATTAGTCTCCTGTGTGATGGGTTCCCACCTTCCAAACTAGCAGATATGTCACTCGCAGCTGTTCCCTGTAGACCTGGCAGGCAGCTATGACTCCCATGCTGGGGCAAGTGACATTTCAGCAAAGAGGAGGCTGGCCATCAACAGGAACAGGGCAACCTTTCCCCACTTCCTCCTCTGCACAGCGTATGTGACACCTGTCCAGGCGACAGCATGAAGGATGAAATGCAGCTCACAAGTGGAATACACACTTGACAGCAAAAAACTAAAACCAAAAAAATCAAAAACCCTGAAAAAACAAATATCGCCTTGGAAAGTACTGTCAGCTGCATTAACATCACACACACAGGGACCCTGGGCAGAGGGCTGGGGCTGCATCCAGGACCCAGATGGCAGGTGGTGCCAGCCGGTGCCCACATGACATGGCCTCTGTTCTCCAAGAGAACAATCCTGGGGCACGGGCTCCCTCAGCCCGTTGAGGAAGACGAACAGGAGAAGCAACCAGGAGCTTGGTACAGAGGTGAGTGTACTGCTGCTTTAAAAGCCCAGTTCTGAGGCATTCGCAGATCTCGGGCTGGAAGGCTCACAGCCTGGCCTCATTCCACACTTCCAAGTCCTGTCACCCACCTGATACACGGAACTGGTTCTCAGGAGCCAGCAAGGGAGCTGTTCGGCACAGCGCCAGCCCAGCCAACTGCGGGACATGGAGCGTGTCCCCTTCTTCCTCAAGATATCCTCATTGGAAAGGAAAAGTCAGACAGACAGGAGGAGAGATGGCATGAGGTCTTTCCCATGCTGGCTCAAGCCTCCAGTGGCTGGGAGCTCCCGTGGCAAGCGCGGAGCGTAACCTGCACACCACAGCCCCAGCCCACATGGAGAATCCTGGCCACGCTCCCACAACCAGGCAGCAGGGCATGGGGCAGATCATCTTATCATGAACCATGTTATGCCTTTTTAGTTTTGAATTATAACATATGTCACCAATTCAAAACTTAAACCACAAAAAGTTTCAGCAAGCATGTTAGAGTCACAAGCATTAGTGAATGATATTTTAATACCACATATGCATATGCATGAAACATTTAAATAATAGCATATGTCATTATATGTTAGAATGCTGATGGCGGGGGTGGGGGAGGACATAAAACTAAAACGACCTAGGAAATTAATGGAAAAAGAACTCATGAAAACCATAAAGTGGAAACCTCACAGAGACCTGCATGGGGTTGGGGCCTGATCATGACAAGCGCAAGCAGAGGGAAAGGATGAAGGGGCATATAGATGGTGGGCGAGATGGTCCATGGGCATGCAAGGCACAGTGCCCTGAGTGCCATCCTGGTGCCATCCTGGTGCATGGCCCATATCTTCCTCTGTATATCTAACCAGACACCAGGGCAGAGGACACGGGAGCCAAGGATGCTAATGGAAGAAGACTGGAGTCAGGAACCAAGCAAGGCAGAGGGAGTCTGGCCCACACTCTTAGCAACATGTAGGAAGCTGCCTTGGCTCTGAGCTCAACTCCCCACTGCCATGCTCTACCAGGCAGGCAAAACTGAGCATTGGGGGAACGCTAACCCCCGTCCCCAGGCCCACAGAAGTAGGAAAATGAGCATCCTCTGACATGGCCCACAGTGACTGCTACCCAACCAGGCGTGGGCTATGCCGCAGGAAGGATGATGGTGAGCTCAGCCTGTATATCAGGTGTGTGAAGGAGGCACCATGGGCACACGGAGCAGTGTAACTGGGAGGGGCAGGACTGCTTAATGGGGTTCCCTGAGTGTTCTGCCCTCGGTGGCATGCTGTATCTTATCTTGCTATCCTGTGGGTAGTATGCTTGTGAAAGTGCAGAGGGCACACACATCCAGGAGTTGTGAAACTAAACAGAAGAGAACAAGAAACAGCCAAGAAAGGAAAAAGCGCAGCCATGACAGCAGGAAGAGGAACTAAATGCGGCAGGTGATGGGGTCGGTGGATGCCTCAGTGCACAGAGGAAACTCGAGACTCACAGGAAGGGCCACGGGGCAGGGCCAGCGTGCAGAGCTGTGACGAGAACGCATGCAGTCCGTCTCTGCCACGATGGAACACCAACAAGCACGAGCTAACAAGGCACAGTGTTGAGTGGAAAGTGTCTACAAACACACAGCACATTTTATATCACAGAAAGATGCACGCAGCTCAGCCACGAAATCCATTCAGACAAGTGATACCCAACTGACAGATGATACAAAGACAAAACACTCTAAAAATTCAAAACTTACAAAATCATAAAAGCTCAACATTCTCAAGTCAGAGGTAGATCAGAACACCATGGGGCAGGCCTGAAGGCAGGGGCAGGAGCCACAGGATCCACATCAGAGTCCCAATCTGCTCACGGGCACCCTGGGAAGCAGTGCTGAGGGTTCAACTACGTGGGTTCCCATTACCAACACGAGAAACTCTGCTCCATCATCACGACTATGACGCCAGCCGAGGGGAAGAGTGCTGCCAGCAGAACTCGAAGACTTGTTTCCAGGAAGCTAGCATACCCAAGCAATGACCAGAGAAGCCCCCAAACAGGCCTCCTTCTGCCTCTCCTATCTGCCTCAAGGCCAGGAAAAGGACAGACCCACCCTCAATACGCATCCAGGAAAAGATGCACCCCACCCGTAATATACATCAGGAAAAACACACCACCCTTGAGTATAGGCTCTACCTTGAGAGGAACGAAACAAAACCAGTGGCCAAGCTGCAGGACCCTAAGGAGCAGGTGTTGCCTTTGGCCCTCAGAGGCACAGACGGTAACCCCAAGGCTCTCTGTCGATGGTTCAGAGCCCAGTGCTGTGGTCTCCTTGTCTTCTGGCTTCTGCTCTCACATGTCTATTTAGGAATGATTTGCTATGTCCCAGGCTGCCTCATCTCTGACAAGGGAAACCATGTAAGAGCTTTCTGCCCGCCTGCAGACAGAGCATTAAAGCACTTAATGCTTATCAACACGTTAGTCATGCCCAGGACTTGGGCCGCAGGTGCTATCAGAATCCCTGTTACAGAGGAGGATGGCGATGTGTGCAGAGGCTCCCTGACTTCCCCAACGTGCAGGGAGCACTTGAAGCAGCAGGTTTCCACAGGGAATGTGAAGAAATATCCATTGCCAGCCCTGGGGTTCTTCTTCCAAGAAGGGACCACATCAAGCCACATGGGGTCCTCTAGCAATGATTCAGGTCGAGACCAGGTGCCCTGCACAGATTTCTTCCCCTACCGTCACAAGTGTCATGACCATCCATGCCCACAATAACACTTCCACAGAAGCAGAAGGACTACAAGGGCACAGCTGTGCCTGCCACCTGGTGTGAGGGGAAAGGGCTCTGGGCCAGCTACTAAAATCGCAACTGATAATTCCCAACACAGATAATCTCCAAAAAGAAAGGAGAGAAGAAAGCGAGAGAGGGAAGGAAGGAGGGAGGAGGGAAGACATACAAACATGTGATGTGCGCAGGCGTGCACACACACACACACGCTATGAATAACTACTCTCTAACGCAGGAATGCAAGAACTGGCAGGCTCTGTTTAGGGTAAGCTTGGGTGCTCTTAGCAATAGGAACTGCAGCTGCTGGAAAGCTCCGAGGCCGATGGCTGGCTTGTGTCCAGGATGCCACACAATGCAGCAAGGTGCTCTGTGTGCAAGCAGCCTCTACTCCCTGCCACGCTTTGGCTATGCCTGCCTCTCTTTAGTGTATTCTCAGAACCAGGTACACATACCTGTGATCCAAGTGGTGAATGGAGAGAATGACTCCTGAATTTAAGGGGGCCTGCTTCAGGGTGGCCAGCACAGTGAACTCATGTTTATTCCTCAGCTTCTGGAAAAACTGCTCCGCTGTGGCAGTGGGCGCCTTGATGCTTCTGGGGGTGTCTGCAACAGAATGAACATGTGCTAAGCATGGACTGGAACTCAGATTTAAAGAGGATTTTTGCATGCAACATTTTCCCAAACACATCATCAGGCCAGCGAAGAGTACAGGTCAGTACAGGCTCCTGAGGTACGACCTTTCAACATGCTCCAGTTGACACAGAACAGTAAGTTCCAAGTCTTACTGAGCTGGTATCTGAAGAATCAGTTTCCAAAAACGCCACCTCTAAGGCAAAGCACCTGAGAAGCCACACCCAAGCTCTCTCCTCATGCTCCGGTGTCCCAGAAATCACATCCCTGTGAAGGCCAGCGGGAGAATGGCAGTGTGTTCCCCAGGTCAAGACCCCAAGGACCACACTGCTGCCATTTGCTATCCCTGACTCCTAACAGGAAGCAGGATTTAAACCCACGTGCCATGCTCCACATTGGTGTCTTTAGCCAGAAGGTTTGCTATAAATATTTTTTTTAAGGATCACTGAAATGAGTCACTCTCCACCTTATGTGCAACAGATGAAGCTGTAAGATCAGATCATCTCACTGTATTTGTTGAAATGCATGGAACTGAGTTCCAGAAAACTTCTCTGCATTTCCACAGGACTAGCTCAGGGCACAACAATCAACAGGGACAGAGAGAGCTGAAGGAACAAGACAAGTCTACTGCTCACTGTACACCAGGCTATGGTAGACAGGACCACAAGATGCAGGGCAGCCTTCCACAAGTACCGTGTTCCTGGTTCAGAGTGGTCAGAGCACCACCCCTGTCTTTAGATGTCTATGGCTCCAGTTCCCGGTCACCATGACAACAGGAAGCACCTACACAGGCTTCACACAGAAGCCCTAGGGAGAAGAGCAGCTTCTGCATACTGCACTGAGGATCCACCCAGCCCCTTCTTTTAGGTCCATCATGGTCTGCAGAATAACAGCAGAGTCTTATTCAGTGTCTTGCTGGGAGAGCAGCCTACAGGTGCCCTTGAGACATCCTTGAAAAAAGAGTAAAGGATGAACATAATGGATGGAATGCCATCACAAAGAGTGAGACAAATTGCTCTAGACTGCAGGGGAGGGTAATCCTGCACCTGTGAGAGACCTGAGAATTTTCACCAGAAGCCCTATATGTTGACTCAATCAGCTAATCCTCTCCTTGCAAGCACCAGAATCCCATATGGGCATTGGTTCATGTCATGGCTGCTTAATTTCCCATTCAGCTCCTTGCTCATGGCCTGGGAAAGCAGTAGAGAATGGCTCAAGGTCTTAGGACCCTGCTCCTGTGTGGGAAACTTGGAAGAAGTTCCTGGCTCCTGGCTTTGGATTGGCTCAGTTGCAACCATTGTGGCCATTTAGGAAGTGAGCCAGCAGAGGGAAGATCTTTCTTTCTGACTCTCCTTCTCTCTTTAAATCTACCTTTACAATAAAAATACATCTTTACTTTAAAAAAAAAAAAGTTTCACCAGAGGAAGGAGTAAAGTATTACTCCACACAAGCACAGCTCAGAGGATAGCATGGCAGGAAAGCGCAGGGCCTGGCGAGGGTACATGACCAGAACCACTGCTGGGCAGGGCTGTGAAATTAACAGAATGCACATCAGTCAATTCCATTGCATGCCATATCTACCACTGGGATTCCCCTATGCTAGAACTGGTGATCTGACACAAATGAGAGAAAATTGGACACACAGGGACTCCTATGTGGTCCCAGACTCAAGAGAGCAGACCCACAAGAACACCTACTCAGGCAATCGTAGATCCATGGGGACTCCCACTCACAGGATGGCCCCAGACACTGGAGGGCCAGACCTATGGGGCACACTACAGCTTGGTCCAAGAGCTTGAGCTCAGAGAAAGGGATTTACCAACATGAGCCAGTTGCCTATCAAGGTGGAACTTGAGATGAGAAGCTTCTAGAAGCTGCTGTACTTTCATACTACTCAATGACAGAAAACCCAAAGTCTGTGTGTTGTTATCTCAACCTTTGGGGGTGAGGCCCATGGGAAGTTAAAGCGCTTCCTCTGTTTTGTGCTTTGATGTTAGATGAAACACCATTTCTGCACAGTTGCCCTCAAGGTGATATGGGAAAGGGCTCCACAGAGCAGGCTCTGCCCAAGCATCAGCAGGAGCACACGAGTCTCTGTGTCCAACAATGTGAAGAAGACACACAGGAGAAGGGGAAATCAACCCCTAAAAAACAGCTCTTCAACCCACATTCAAGCCTACCTCACAGAAGAGGAGGGGTCATGGCAGAAGGGAAACAACCAGAAGCAGGAAAAACACTTGAGATATTTGGGAATTCAAGTGCTCACCAAACATCAGCTCACACCAGGGTTCTTCCAACAGTCCATGGAAAGAAGTAAGTGGGATAGCCTTGCATGGACATCAGGTGAGTGTGAGAGTACTTTGGAGAAGACACTTGGAATCCATGCTAGGATCTGCCAGCTTGTTGTACAGCAGGTGCTCCACAACTGAGTGCTGGGGGACACTGAAGTTAAGTTTTCTCTTAGAACTTCTGTTCTTGGGACTGGCACAATGGCTCAGTGGTTAAATCCTTGCCTTGCATGTGCCAGAATGCCATATGGGCACCAGTTCATGTCCCAGCTGCTCCACTTCCCAACCAGTTCCCTGCCTGTGACCTGGGAAAGTAGCAGAGGACGGCCCAAAGCCTTGAGACTCTGCACCCATGAGGGAAGCTTGGAAGAAGTTCCTGGCTTCAGATTAGCTCAGCTCTGATCATTGCAGCCACTAGGAGAGTAAACCAACAGACAGGAGATAATTATTTATCTCTTCCTCTATGTAAATCTGCCTCTCCAATAAAACTAATCTTAAAAACAGACCTTCTGTTCTTGTCAGTCTTGGTGTGACTGACTGCACTCCTACCACCAGCTTCCTGCGGATGTGCACCATGGGATGCAGTGGTCATGGCTCAAGTGCTGGGCTGCCTGCCCCGAGGTGAGGCCTGGACTGAGTTTCCCACTCCCAGGTTTGGCCTGGCCCAAACATCACAGACATTTCGGAAGTGAGCCAGAGGATGAGAGCAACTGGACAACACTGGGGACACCTTCTTCCCAGTCCTTCTCCCCCAGGACAGTGTTCCTGCTCATTCCTCTCACCTGGGGCGGTTCCTGGGGAGTCATCAGTTCCCACCTTGCAGCCATGATTTGGTCCCTTCTGACTTCCTTCTGTTCTAGAATCCTGAGACATCTTAAGCACATCCATTTTTACCCAATTAATAACATGCACAAGATACACTGACATAAGTTAATTCCCATAACCCTCCGTTGGTTTTGGTTCCTTAAGTAACTGTATAACCTGACATCATTTTTTGATATATGAGGCAGGGCTTAAATGAGCAAATTACTTTATCATCAAAACCTATAAATTCATTAATTAGGTGACTTTATTTTTGAAATAACCCTGTCTTTAGTACCTAGATTTATCTTAAATGCACATGCACAAATTAAAGTGTTCAATTATTAAACTAGGAAATCTAAATGCAAAATGACAACTGCACATAATTTCTGAGAAATGAAAACTGAATGAGAAGCCACTTCTTTATTTTGTTTAAGGTCTGATAAAAACATTCACACAGTCCCTGAGAGACAAACATGCTCTCTCGGACAGCTAGTTCCCGTTCTGCTCACACATGCACTGATGTTTGGACGTGGTTCTGGTCATCAGCATGAAGAGATGAAAGTAAGCCTTGCACAATCAAGGTGGGCTTCCTGGGATGCATCTATTAATTGCTAACGATGATGGATACAGCTTTTTAAATGGTTTTTCCGTCCATAAACTGTGCGGGTTCTGAACTGTGCAAACACCAGACTACACAAGCAGACGCTAACAGGATGTTTGCTGAGTAGCCACAGACAAAACATGGTGCCCCATCAATTACCCTGAGCCAAAGTGCTGAAATGCACAATTGCATCTTCCCCTTAGTTTGACCTGAGACATCAATTTGGAGAGTTTGTTCTGCTTTTATCCAGCTTTAATTATAATAACCAAATCATTTCAGAATAACAAGATACCAAAGGATCAGTTACCATGATTAATCACCCTTTCAAAATTGAGCTGCACTTTTCTATTATAATTATTTTCACTGCAAGACAGAAAGAAAACAGCACCGTGCAGTATCGAGGGTAAAAAACAGTTGTCACGAGCTTCTCCAAACAGCGTGTTGGTCCCCACCCTTGCCTCCTCCCTCCATTTCTGAGTCACTTCGGATCACAATGCCAGAAAACCAGAAGTGAGCCTTAGAGGTAAAACTTTTGTTCAGAGGTTCCACAACAAGAGAGGCCTCTGACAACTTCTCAGTGCCGCCCTGGTGGCCAGTCCACGCCCCCAAGCCTCAGCAGCCTGGCTGAGGACTCCACTCTGGCCCCCATGCTCAATATGGATTCTGACACAGTACCAGCATCTCCACCTTGGGAACAAGTGGACTCTGCTGGACAGTGCTGGATGTTCCATCTCCCAAGAGTCGTCTGCCTCCCCTGGAGCTCCAGAGCCAGCTGATCATGGTGCCTGGGCACCAGCCCACCTCCCGCTCACCCTCACACCCACCCTAACCCCACTACTGTCAAGTTTTGCGTAGAGCTGGCCCTCTTTTCACCACTGTGAATACAAGCCCTGGGTGACTCAGGGTTTGCTAGATATCAACAGGGCTTGTCTTCAAAGCTCCAAAGCTCAGGCTGCATTTCATCATCAACCCAATGGTGTGGATGGACAGTTGGGACCTTCGAGGGTGATAAAGTCCTAAGAGAGAGCAGTGCACTTCTTGGGGGACTGTGCTGATGACTCAAAGGTGGGACGTGTCAGAAAGTGAGGCCATGCGCCACGTGTTTTCTCACTGCACACCGCCGTTCTCCTCCACCATTCTGCAAGTGATACCACAGGCTGAGGCCTTCACTCCCAACCTCCAGATCTGTGAGCTCAACAAACCCCTCTGCTTTAGAAATGGTGGATGCAGAGGCTGAGTTCAACTTTGGACTTGCTACCTGAGGCAACCCAAGGTCCGGA